ATATATATATATATATATATATATATATTTATTTATTTATGCATATTTTTTTTATTATAAATGTATTTTATATTAATATTCTTATATGCAGGGAATAAATACACACGTGTTCGGTATTAAATAAAATAAAAAAGAAAACTTTTTTTAAATTGGATTTATCCAATTTTTCTTTTTATTAATAATATCGTTGTCATTTAGCAAAATATAAAGTTTTATTGTGCTGCGCTATTTAATAAATATTTTTTATGATAAAAGTATAACTTATAAAAGTGATTTTATTTATTAATTATATGGCATATGTAAAAAATAAAATAATTTATATTAGTAATTATAATTTCACATAGTCATTTAATGTTATAAAATATTTAAATTAAAAAAAATATTTAATTTTAAATGAACATTTCTTTTCATAATACAATTAAATGTTCTTTCATATGTGGGTAAGTAACTTTATTGCATTTAATTATTTATTATTAAATAAAAATATATGCTATTAAATAATAAATAAAATCATTTTTATATATTTATTAATGTGAAATTATAAATTAAATATTTACAGATTTAAAAGAATTAATTTTATATTTTTGCATAACATGGAACAATGTGCAAAAAAACCAAAATTAGATAATATAAATATAAAAGAAGGAGAGGCAGAAATTCTGGTAAATGATACAAATGTATTTTATAATCCTGTTCAAGAGTTTAATAGAGATCTTAGTATAGCTGTATTAACAACCTATATAAAAAATATAAATAAGCAAGCAATAGAAATAAATGCAAAAAAAAAAGATGAAATCTGTATATTGGAAGCTTTATCTGCAACTGGTTTACGTAGTATTCGGTATGCCAAAGAAATAATGGGTATAAAACAAATTATAGCAAATGATATTTCTGCAAAAGCAGTAGAAAGTATTAAAAAAAATATATATCATAATGGAGTTGAAAATCTTGTAAAACCAAGTCAAGAGGATGCAACATTGCTTATGTACCAAAATAGAAAAAGCAAATTTGATGCAATAGATTTAGATCCATATGGTTGTCCTACAACATTTTTGGATAGTGCAGTACAATGCATATCAGATGGTGGATTACTCATGATTACAGCTACAGATATGGCTGTATTAGCTGGCAATTCTCCTGAAACTTGTTATCTTAAATATGGTGCTATCTCATTAAGAACTAAAGCTTGTCATGAAATGGCATTAAGAATATTGTTGCAAAATATTGCTTCGCATGCTGCTCGTTATGGTAGATATATAATACCCATACTTTCTGTAAGTGCTGATTTTTATATAAGAGTATTTGTCAAAGTGTTTTCCAGTCAAATTAAATGCAAAGAGAATGCTACAAAAATTGGAATGGTATATCAATGTACAGGCTGTGAGACTATTACTACTCAACCATTATGTTATAAAAAGTCCTCAGGAGGCTATAAATTAATATCTTCACCTTATGTGGATCAATTTTGTAAAATTTGTAATTATAAACATCATGAAGGAGGACCTATATGGTTAGGTCCTTTACATGATCAACATTTTGTATCTGATCTTCTATGTAATTTAAATGAAATGAAATTGGGAACATTGAAAAGGATAGAAGGAGTTTTAAATGTTATTCATGAAGAGCTAGATATTCCATTATATTATACTCTTAATCGTTTAATGTCTATAATTAGATGTATTACACCATCAACACTAATATTTCGATCTGCATTGTTAAATGCAGGATATCATGTATCATATTCACATGCGTGTAAAACATCTATAAAAACGGATGCTCCAAATGAAGTTATATGGGATATAGTACGTGCATGGGAAAAAAATAATCCCATAAAAAGAAATAAACTGTCAAATGATAGTCCTGCAATAAAAATATTAGATACACCAATAATTACAAATGTTTCATTTGATATACATCCTCTAGCCAATCCAGTGTCCAGACAAAACAGGCTAACACGATTTCAACAAAATCCTACAGTTAATTGGGGACCTGGAACACGTTCAAAAATAAGAATAGATTTAGAAAATGAAGATGAAATTCCAAAAAAGATAAAAAATCAGAATAAAAATTCTAAAAAAGAAAAATCACAAATAATAAATGATACGGAAAAAATAAAACCTTTATAAAATATTTTATTTTTATTTGTAAGTCTTTATTGAAGATACAAGTGTATATAAATGTATCAATTAATAATTTCTCAAAAATATAATAAAATATAAATATAATTCTTTTTTTTATATTTTAAATATATATTTTATAATATATGTATTATTAAATATTTTCTTAAAATTATGAACATGAATATATTTGAATATATTTATTACATAAAACTTTATATCATTTTTTTTCTTAAATAAAATATATAAAAATTTAAAAATCAAATATGTTCATATAAAAAAAAATATAATATTTAAATATATATTTACAGCAGAAAAAGGAAATTTTAATGTTACATAATAATATAAAATTGAAATATGATTGAACAAGAACATATACAGTATTTAAATATAATCATGAAATGAATTATGAAAATATTTGAACACATGAAGATAAATAGGTTTTATCTCATTTTTGTACATAAGCATTATGATTAATATATTCAATTAATATTAAAATAAATATATACATATGCAATATTTTTTTAAATAATAATAATATTATTATTATAATAATATAATTTACAATTAATTCATTATATTAATTATAATAATTAATTAATATGCAATCAATAGTCAATTTTAGAACTTATAGAAATATTTTATTATATATAAAATAATATATTTGCAAGAATTGATTCTCAAAATATTATTAAAAAGTTATATAACAAAATTATTTTATAATAGAGATAAAAAAAATACTGAAAATTAATAAGAATTAAAAGAGAAACATTAAATTTTACAAAAAAAGTATGTAATTGAAGATGTTATCTTTTGAAATACCATCATACTATCAAATAAATAGAAATTTAATATTTTTAATTCAAATATATGTACTTATTTGAAAGAAAAAATGAATATTAAAAATTTATATTTTTATATAAGAATTTAAATCGAAGAATAAAATTATTTTATTATAATAAAAAATTTATGAAAACTGACGAAAATTATATAATTTTAAATAATAACTTTAAATGTAAGTATTATAGAATTAATTATATATTAATATAAGAATAAATTAAAATACTAATTAATAATAATTAATAAAAATAATTAATAATAATTAACTATATTATATTAAAATATTTTTGTGATATATGTGATATTAATTATAATAAATTTCAAACATTATATATATCATAATTTGATAATCTCAAAATATTTTCATGTTATCGATTATATTATACTAGATTTTTTGTTAATTAATTAATGATAATAATAATATAATAATAGTAAATATAGAAAATGCTTTTCATGAAACTACGTATATTATTTTGCAATTTATATTTTGTAAAATTTTATGAAGTTTTTTTTAATAAATAATTATATTTTTGTAACATTTTTTTTTATACATTTTTTTTTTACAACAAAAAATATTGAATTGATTATATAAAAAGTTTCATAATAAAAATAGAAGCTGTAAAGTGGGGGAACATTTATATATCTATATAACGTTCGTATCTGTATTTTAGAATAGTAATCATTGAATGTTACACACTCTGACGCAACAGGATGGCGGTAACAAATATTAAGTTGAATAATGGATATAAAGTTCCTGTACTAGGACTTGGAACTTGGCAATCTGCAGTAAGTATTTTGCTTAAAAATAGTAAAATATATAATAATTTATTTTTAAAATTTACAAATATCATATATACATTTAAAATTTCGAATTAATTTTTTACTTTATATTTCTTTAAAATGACATTTAAAAGATTTTCATTTAATATTAAATATAAAAATATTGTAGAAATAAAAAAAAATAATAATAGAGCAAATGAATACTGTTTATTATATTATTATTTAAATATCAATATTTTTTTTATAATCATATAAAATTCTATTGTTTAAATATTTAAACTTGCTTACATGATATTTTAGCTCCCAAATATTAATCGAATTTAAATTCGGATAAAACTTTTAAAACTTCAATATTTTTTTTTAAACAAAAAAAGTCTCTCTCATTAATTTTTGCTTTTTATTGCATATGTAAACAATAATAAAAATAATAATAATAAAAATAAAATCTGCGTAAAATATAATCTTTTATAGGCTGATAGAAAAAATATAGATTATCGTATTATATCCATTATTTTTTAAAATATTACATCATTAAATGATAGAAATAGGATTTGCATATAATATTGAAAATATTATTCATTAATATAAGATAAAGATTTCAATGATCTAAAACTATTTTATTAATATAAATTATCAGAAATTCAATAAATAATTTATTGATACTTTACTAATTATCTTGTAATCTAAAATTGAATATTATTAGTTAAAAAAAAACTATACATTTTATATTTTATATTTTAAATAATCTATATTTTACGTATTTTATAATACCAATAATTGTAAATCTATTAAAAAATTTTTGAGGATGATCCAGGTGTCGTCGAACAAGCTGTACGAGATGCTGTCGATGCCGGATACCGACATTTTGATTGTGCTTACATTTATGGAAATGAAAAAGAAGTAGGCAAAGCTCTACGTGATAAAATTGCAGAAGGTGTAGTAAAGAGAGAAGATTTATTTATCACAACAAAGGTAATTATAAAAAATAAATTGTGATTTATAAATTTTATCATCAATATTTTTATATTTTCAGTTATGGAATACAACACACAGAAAAGAACAAGTAGTACCAGCATGCAAGAAATCGCTTAAAAATTTTGGATTCGATTATATTGATCTTTATCTTATCCATTGGCCCATGTCCTATGACATGAAGGTATGAAGTAAAAATAAGAAATGCACGAATTTATTATTATTATTATTATTAATTAAAATATATATAATTATTAATTAAAATATATATAATATATTATGATTTCAGAAAGAAGATGGTTTTTGGCCCAAAAGTAATCTTCTGTATGAGAATGTGGATTATTGTGACACATGGCAAGGAATGGAAGAATGTGTAAAATTGGGATTAACGAAAAGCATAGGCCTTAGTAATTTTAATTCCCAACAGATCGATCGTATTTTATCAATTGCCCAAATTAAACCTGTCATGAATCAAGTAGAATGCCATCCAAATTTAAATCAAAAAAAGCTTCGAGATTTTTGCAAACAACGTGATATAGTTATTACGGCTTATAGTCCACTTGGTTCTCCTAAACGTACTTGGGCGAAACCCACTGATCCACAAGTAACAATCGAAACACCAGAAATTCTCGAGATTAGCAAAAAATATGAAAAAACGCCAGCACAAGTTGTTTTACGATATTTGGTAAACATATCATAGTTATTAGAAATATAGCGAAGATCTTTTCATTACAACTAAAGTAAAAAACGAACGATTCAATTGAAATATTTAATTTAAATAATTATCATTATTCATTATAGATCGACATTGATACCATTCCTATTCCGAAATCTAGTTCAAAAGAGCGTATTAAACAAAATATCGATATTTTTGATTTCAAACTATTGCCACAAGAAATTGCAACCATTGATAAACTTAACTGTGGACTTCGTATTTGTCCTGCTAAAGAGTAAATAACAAATAAGATATACGTTTCTTGTTTTTTATTTTTATATCGTAATTATATCATATAATATTTTCGTTCTTTTTTTTTTTTAGATGTGCAAATCACAAGGATTATCCGTTTAATATAGAATTTTAAAAAGTTTATTAAAAACAATTTTCTTTTTTTGCATTTTTCAAAATATTATTCATGTATATTATTACTAATATATAGTGTTATCCACATTTATAATTGTCTTTAATTTTAATAAAATATTTTAAACATATTGATTAAAAAACAACGAATGCCTTTCGTAACATTCCTTTGAATATTGAAAAACAAAATACATTGAAAAACAATGACTTGCATTATTTTTAATTATCATTTCATTATATCATAATTATTATTATGTATTATCATATTTATGATTTTCGAATCTTTTAAACTTATAAAATAGTCTTATAGTCTTTTTTTTATCTACGATAAAAAAAAGCGATATTGATAACGTTTAAATATCGCATGATATTGTGTAATATCATCAATGCATTACTACATTTCTAATCTTAGTTTAATATTGTTTGCATCGTTATAGTTATATAATATTTATCTATTTGAGAAGTAGAGTATGAATAGAAGGTAATAAAATACAGTTTTGCCAGTTACTTACATTTTATGTGATTCGAACATTGTATAACAGTGAAAACTTTTGATACATATTTGCTAATACTTTTTTTCTAATTATTTACTCAAGATCTATAATTAATGATGGCTCAAATACCCACTCTTACATTTTCTAATGGATACAAGATGCCTACATTTGGTCTTGGTACTTACCAGGTAAGATTTCATTTATATATCAAGTAATTTATATATAAAAAAAATTTTTATTAGTAATAATTTTAATAAAATAAAAAGGTTATATCAAAGTCTAGTAAATTTCTTTTAATGTATCACATGATCTCATCGCGCGTTTTATTCAAAATATTTAAAAATCAAATTAAACTAAATATGATAAACTTCTTAATTTTTTCAGTCACGTCCTGGAGAAGTAGAAAATGCTGTAAAAGAAGCAATAAACTTAGGATATCGTCACATAGATACAGCATATTTTTATCAAAATGAGAAAGAAATCGGTGAAGCGATTCAAGCGAAAATCAAAGATGGAACTGTGAAAAGAGAAGATCTTTTCATTACAACTAAAGTAATTAAGTTTTATATTTAAAAATAAATATATATAAATATATTTATAATTTGTATTAACTTTTTTTTTTTTTTTTTAGCTTTGGAATAACTTCCACAAACAGGAAAGTGTAGTTCCAATATGTAAGAAATCGTTAGAAAATCTTGGATTAAGTTACGTAGATCTCTATTTAGTCCACTGGCCATTTGCCTTCAAGGTACGTTCCAGTTTAATATATTGTAATTATCTCAACAATATTTTTAAAAAATAAAATTATTGTTCAATAATATTTTTAAAAAAATATTAATTATTTCTCAGGAAGGTGATGATTTGTTACCCAGAGATGAAAATGGTACCCTTTTGTTATCGGATACTGATTATCTTGAAACTTGGAAAGGAATGGAAGAATGCGTGCAATTAGGATTGACTCGTAGTATCGGAATTAGTAATTTCAATCAAGAACAAATCACTCGCTTGCTTAGTGCAGCCAAAATTTTACCTGTAAATAATCAGGTAATTGCATATTATATTATTTATTAATTCTTTCTGAAGATTAATTTCTGAAGATCATAATAAACATAAATTGTTTAGGTTGAAGTCAGCATAAATATTAATCAAACGCCATTAATAGAATTTTGTAAAAAGCATAATATTACAATAACTGGTTATTCACCATTGGGACAACCTGGAAATAAAACAGGTTTACCAACTTCCTTGGATCATCCAAAAATAATAGAACTTTCAAAAAAATATAATAAAACATCAGCACAAATTGCTTTAAGATATATTGTAAGTATAATTTATTTTCTTAATTTTCTTTTTATGTTACAAATAATTATGATAATTGTCATGATTTAAAACGTATATATTTAAAAAATGAATATATGTATAAATATATCTTAATTTATTTTTTAAATACGATTTTTAAATTCAAATAATAAAAACATTATTTTAAAATTTTTATATCAAAAAAAACTAAAATTTAGATAATTTAGAAATATTTAATCATATTTTTATATACTTAAGTACTCGAATATTCAAATATTTAATCATATTAAAAATTACACAAATAAAATAGGAATTAATTTAGATAAAAGATGAATTTATATATATTTAATCTAAATATACAGTTGAAAAATATGAAGTAATGGATATATTAAAAATTATACGATTGAAAATATAGTATTTAATTCTTTATGACTAAAATAAAAATTTTTACTATATTTGAATTCAATGTAAAAAATTAATTTATATCTCTTTTTTAATGATGATACTTATTATTGGAATACATATTACTGATCAAAGATAACATGATATAACGAAGATAATGATCAGCAAACTTTGATAAAAATTAAATCAATATTCAATTATATCTTCAAAAGAAGTATAATTGCGTAATCATTGGAAATCATTTTATTCCCTAATAAAAAGATAATAAAAGATCTAATGAATTTTTTATTTAAACATAAAAATTCATAGAAAGATTGTATATATCTATATAACATATTATTATAAATATAATAATCAATTATATTATTAAATTAATTATAAATATAACATATTATTTTTTTTTATCAAAATATTCCAGTTACAACAAGGAATCGCTATTATTCCGAAATCTGTAACACCGAGTCGATTGAAAGAAAATATCAATATATTTGATTTTTCTTTGACAAGTGAGGAAATGGCATCTATAGCTACAATTGCAACTGGTCAACGTGTTGCACGATTTGCAGAGTGAGTATCTTAAAAATTATTAAAATAAATTAATTTTTGAACAATAAGACATTGATATTATTTTTGTTGTTACTGCAGTGCGAAGCAGCATAAGTATTATCCATTTGAGAAATAAAAATTTCATTGCAACTGAGTAAAATAACAGGAAACAGCTCGTCAAATTCAGTAGGTATATATTAATAGTAAGGTATATCCCCTTTGAACTTATATAATCCCACGCTGTAATTCGGCACTCGTTTGACCCTTATCTAGTCAATTAGATTTATTGAATGCCATGGAAAATTTTGATGCTCCATACAATATGAGATCATACAACGTAACAAAGCGGACATCATCATGGACAAGGTTAATTGCATTCAACTAATGTTAATGTTGATTACTAGATGTATACATTGCGAATAAATAAAATTATATTAAGAACAAAAAATTTTATCAAAAGCAATTTATAAAACATTTTTTTTATTTTAAGAAAATGCAAGTAAAATAATTTTCAATATTTCATGAAAATGCAAGTAAAATAATTTTCAATATTTCATGTTATAATTATATTTTAATTATGATAAAAATTCAAAATATTAACAAGAAACTACTTTTAAGAACCCAAACATAAATTACATTGACGGAATTGTTACATAATAGCGGAAATGCAATTAACAATCTAAAACGAAACGGATGATTTAATTTTTATTCTTTCTTTATTACAATTATTCTTCGAATTTCTTAAATAAAAAGAATTTATATACAATGTAAATATAAAATATTATATAAACAAAATGTTTTTATTGTTTTAGAAAAATTCGAACCATATAGAATCAATTCAATAGAATCTTATCTAGAAAAGCGACTATGATTTTATTCTACTTTACACGTTAAAAATTCTGAACAATATTTCTTCAAGGCTAATGAATGCGAACGAGAACCCTTTTTTAGAATGATTCATTCAACAAGCAAAATTGCTTATTCGCTGTCCATAATATACGAGTGGAATTTTTTGCCATACAGAATATGATACTATTCAACATTTTTGTTATAGTATTTTTCACTTTCTATTTTTCTTTCTTCCATCATTAAAAGTACAAATTAATTTGTTCGAAAACGATAATTCGAAATAGCACGTAAGTTTCTGAAATTTATATGTTAAATATAATATAATGATATAATGAAATAAATGAAATATACGTGTTCTAAACTTGAATTTCCCACCTATTGTGCAATGTTTAGTAAATTAAAGTATGACCTTCGAGAAATAACAATATAATAAAAGTGATACCTTTGAGAAATTATTCGTTATCAATCTGTTAATAGTCACGTATTCATGATATTGTTATTTCGGTACATATATGGTCGAAGAAATTACATCATGAATCATATCACACAAGCGTAAGTTTCTAAGCAAACTACCGTATGCATTGAATTACGTGTTTGATATCTTTTTTTCTTTACAATATCATTCTTTATCGATAAAACAAACACTTTGAACACTGAACGAAACCATTAAATGATATTACAGGTGGAACACAAAATTTTCTAACAAAACTAAATCACCGACGCATAAAAAATTATTATCGTTAGAGAACATTCGATCGCCGATAATTTATTGTGGCTCCTGGAGATCTAGAATGCTAGATAAAGTGAAAGAATGCCGTGATGCTATTAAGAACATGATGACCTTCGACAAGCTAACAAATACCTATGAAACTACACATATAGTCGGTAAAACTTCGATAATTCCAAGAGCAGCTACTTCTATGTCCTCGATACCGGATGTTATTACATTTAGTGACATTGCATTGAAATACAAAGAATATGAAGACGTACCGATTGTAATGAGGGATTCCATACTAAATTCGGATAAAAAAGAGAAAGAAAACACTGTTGTGGAACAAATTGATCAAACTAACAATGCAAACAATTCGTTAAAACGTTTCGTTTCAGCAGATAACATGCTCAGCAATTCGTTGAAATCGTTTATAGTATTGGAAAAACAGATAAAAGAGGAATTTTTGGAAGAAGACGACGTTTTCACGACGAAAAAAAAAATTTCCGCAGAACCGTTCCTCTCTTATGTGAAAGGAAACGCCGAATTCATTTGGCCAGATGATACAATTGAAAGTTCTTCCGGAAATGCCTGGAATTCCTTGGAACATTTGAATTCGTCTGATATCAAATTTGGAAATCCACGTACGAATTCCACTTTTTATGAAGATGTTTATGTGAATAGAAATCGTACATCTTCCCCAATTCGAAATCATCATTTTCAGGATTCTGGTTTTGAAAATAATTTCTCGATATAAATCAATTCTATTTCCAATTTTTTCTCTCCATTCCTGTTTTTATTTTATACTTCTTATTTATAACTTTCTGTAAAAATCTTTTTCATATTTGAAACAATAAAATTTCTTATAATGAATACAATTTATTATGTATTCCTTCGATAAATTCGAACTGAATCCATTTCTAAGATTCCATTGATTAAATGTAAACAAAAATATTATCAGTAATATAACATTGTACTGGTGACACTGTGAAAATCATATAAAATCAATGATGATTTTGCAAAATCATTAAATAATTTTTGAATACGAAATATAAATTAATCGTGCAATTAATCGTGTAACATAAAAGAAAACAACACTTCCAATTTAATCGATATCAATTTAAACGAACGGATTTAAAAACAAAAACGAGATAATAATATCGAAATCCTCGAAGTTATCGATCTCATGAACAGCCATTATGCTGGAATATATCAACCAATCCAACGATTCATTTTTATCCTGCGATAAGCTTAAAACAATATCAGTTTTTTTAAAGAAGGGAAAAACCACTCAGAGTAAAGTAATGGATTTTATTCTAACGATACTTAGCTGTATAATCCTGAAAATTGATAATCAAACCTACTTATATGAATTTAAAGATATCTTCAATGATAGAACCTTAAAAAATATAAAGGATGATCTGGAAAATCTTCTGCATTTTAAAACTAAATTCTTTAACTTTTTAATCATGGAGTTATTGTTAGAGACTATCAAGAAAGAAAATAATTATTTTAATAAACATATCAAATTTAATAGAATCATGGAAACATCAAATAAACAATGTAATAAAGAAGTTCTTCAAAAAAAAGTCAAGGATGTTATAAAATTTTTAATTTTTCGAAAGATCAAGAAATCTTCTTATCTTCATGATGACAATAGTACATTGGATTGGTCTTATTACAAACAGAAAATTGATGTTATACTTAGCAACGAAATTTGTTCAAGAGATAATATAATAAATAAAAATAACGTTAAGAAAAATAATGAAGAAAATACAATAAATTTTATTACCATAAAACAAAAAATGAATCTATGAATAATGTAAACAATTCAAAAAAATCAGATTCAAAAATAGAATCTAATTTCTACAAAACATCAAGTTATACTTGCTTCGATTATCTTTGCAGCAAAATCTATTGGTTGCTCTGTTACGCATGGTTAGGAATTTTTATATATTATTGTTGCACATCTTTTTTTCCAATTTTCCCAACATTGTTAAATATTATACATAAATTGATAAATAATAATTCATAATATAGTAATTGTACATAAATTAGATATAAATTTGTATTATTTCGTTCAAATTGTTGTTAAAATATGTGTCGATATTGTTTTCTTCACAAACATAGTATAGGAATTATATATGCATAGTATAGAATTATTTTGCTAATTTATTAATAACTTATATCAAAATTTATAAATTTATCTAATTTTATCAATTATATAAATGTATCATATACTATGTTAACTTATTAAAACAAAAAAAATATGTACATCCAAACTTGATTTTAATATCTTTTAGTTTAGATTATTTTTCATCATGTAGCGAATAACTATGTTTCAATATAATGCGATATTGTAATATAAAAAGTATTTCTATAATTAAAAACTTTTAATGATAATGAATATAAAAGTTCAACTTTACTATCTTTAAAATATTTAAATAGTCATTGTTCTTTCATATGCTTTCATAATAAATTTATTCATATATTTCATAAGCTTTTATTTTTATATCGCAATATAAAATATCAATAATTTTTTGATACCATTCATTTGAATCATAAAAAAAATATATAAAAAAGTTTGATCGATAATCATTTATTTAAATTAGATTATAAACACTTACTTGAATGTACATATACTCGAAATTAAAATAGAAATATAAATTACTATATAAATTAATTTGTATAACATATTATTTTTTATTTATTGTTATTTATTTTAAGTAATTTATTTTTTTATGTATTAAGAATATTATATCTTAAAAATATTTCATTATTAATCATGATTAAGTAGATTTAAGGTTTAAAGAAGGCTATTATTATTTATTATTTATTACAATGTTTTTTACATGACATTTCAACATAGAATATGATTAAAAAATATATATTTTAAAATAATTCATTTCTGTTAAAATATGTTATTCTCAATAATTGATTCATTTATTCTTAACGATCAAGGGATGAACTGTCCTTTGTTGCTTTTAACGGATTCTGTAATTTTCCATAGGGCCCGTTTCTTGTTAACGAATTTGCCGACTTGTCGAGCTACGTCGAGATACAAACACATAGATAAATCTCTCTATACAATACATAAACTTATTATGCAAGGTTCAACACATATAGAAAGATCGTAAAACGCATGCGTAGAAAAGCTGCGCAAAACAGGGCAGTATACTTTTAGAGGGTTAAAAGTGCCACATTTTTCTTTCAATTTTTTTCAATATATGTATTTATATATAAAATTTATTTTTCGTATTAATTTTTTTAAAAATATGTAAAATATTGGTATTTGAAAAATAGAAAATAAATTTAAATATATAAATTATAAATATCAAAAATATTAAAATCATAAATACGAATATAATTTATAGAAAATATATAAAAATATTTGATTATCAATTAATTACAATAGATTCTTAAATTTTATATATTAATATACTAACATTATGAAAAAATAAATTCTAAAAAGAAAATCTCTCTTAAATGGATTAAGCACTATTTAAATTATCAAGATATATAAAATTGAGAAAATATAATTTATTTTAATAAAAAATATTTTTAATATATAAATGATTTAATTTTATTTTTATTTTTAAAATATATAGAAAAAATAAAAAGAAAATAAACAAATGAAACGATAAATCATACTTCATTTTTTGATATACGGGTATGTTCTTAGAGGAGGAGTCGGGGTAACGTAGGATATTTATAAAGGAAGCTGAGAAAATCTACCGGCATTATACTATTGGTATTACGATTGATTATAATTAAAGTATTCAAAATTTTGTTTCAAATAATAAGATATATAACAACTAAAATGGTTGCAAATACTGCACCAATGTTAAAATTTTATAACGGTAATGAAATACCGATGTTCGGACTTGGTACATGGAAGGTCAGTAATATTTATAATATAATAATTTATAATGTAGTATAATAGCAATAATAATTTATAATCTATTTTCACAAAAAATATATATATAAAACTGTTTATAATGTATATTTTTTTATAATATTAATATAAATTTAACATCATTATTAATATAAATTTATACAATTTTTGTTGTGAATTTTGTTAATGAATTTCTCTAATTTTATTCGTATTTTCTAATAATTTACTCATTCTCTCATTTTATATACCGATTAAAATTTGCAATATGTCATTTAAGATACAAGATATTCTACAATGTTCTCGAAGTTACGAAATAGATAAACGATCTGCCTTTATTTAAAATGTAGTACATTACAAATGTTTTTATAATATAACAAATTATTATATTGAAATTTAAAAAATTACTGAATTTTTTTATATTTTGATTTATATTTTATTTAAATAAAATTTTATTATTTTATGTCTTTGCTAAAATAAATTTTATACGTACATAATAATATATACGTATATACATACTACGTGAGTACGTAATTGGTTATTTTGAGTTAATAAAAATATATAATTAAATAGAGATAAGGAACTTATCAAAATTAGATAACTTGATTCGGAAATAATTTTTATTACATAATATGTTTTTTATTTTTATAATATAATATATTATGAAATTGTTCATTGAATTCATTTTTCTCAATTAATTAATTGCTTATCTTTTAGTCTAAACCTGGAGAAGTGACTCAATCAGTTAAAGATGCAATTGATATTGGATATAGACATATAGATTGTGCTCATGTATATGGTAATGAGAAAGAAGTGGGTATTGCTATTAAAGATAAAATTGCTCAAAATATTATAAAAAGAGAAGATATTTTCATCACAAGCAAATTATGGAATACTTTCCATAGACCAGACTTAGTAGAACCTGCTATCAAAACATCTTTGTCAGATCTAGGTCTTGAATATTTAGATCTTTACCTAATTCATTGGCCAGTAGCGTTCAAGGAAGGAGATGATCTTTTTCCACAAAATCCTGATGGTTCTCCTATTTTAAGTGATGTAGACTATGTAGATACATGGAAAGCTATGGAAACTTTAGTAACCAAAGGATTTACTAAAAATATTGGTATTAGTAATTTCAATTCTGAACAAGTAGAAAGAATTCTTAAAATCTGCACTATCAAACCAGTTACAAACCAAGTAAATATATATTTTATTTAAATCAGAATAATATGTAAAAAATATATTTTTTATAATATATTTTATGTACATTTATAGATTGAATGTCACCCATATCTCACTCAAAAAAAACTTTCTAAATTTTGCAAAGATAGAGATATTCTTATTACTGCTTATAGTCCTCTTGGATCACCTGATAGACCATGGGCTAAACCAGATGACCCAAAATTATTAGATGATAAAAAATTGAGTGAAGTTGCAAAGAAATATGATAAAACACCTGCTCAAATTCTTATAAGATATCAAGTATATATACTAATATTTTATTCATAAATTATTTTTTAATTTAATTTCTAATTTTATTTTTTTTTTTTAGTTGGATCGTGGTCATATAGTTATTCCTAAATCAGTTACAAGATCAAGAATTGTTGAAAATTTTGAAGTTTTTTGATTTTAAACTTTCCTCAGAAGATATTGAATATATTGATAGCTTTGACTGTAATGGTAGAATTTGCCCACTAATAGGGTAAATATTTTAATATTTTTATTTATAATAATTTTTATAAAAGTAGTTTTAACATAAACATTAATTTTTTTCAGAGCTGAGGCTAGCCCTCATTATCCATTCCACATTCCATTCTAAGTAATAAGTTAATATATTTAACATTTACAATATCCTTTTTCTGTAAATTTTCTACATGAAAATCATATAAAATAAACTATATTCTAATAACAATTTTAATTTCATTTTTATATCTCAAATTATTATTTATTAAATTATTAAATTATTTAATAATTATATAATTTATATAATAATAATAATAGAATTGAAATAAAATTATAATTATAATTCAAAATTATAATACATTCATCTCTTCATATTCTTTCATTTTTAATAAAAATATTTTTCTAGTTATAAATCCTCAATAAAAAGGTATATATATTAATTGTATAAAAGTATAAATATAAATATAAATAAAAGGTAATATATAAATAGATAATAAATATAAATAAATAAAATATAAATAAAAAGTATAAATATAAATATTAATTATATAATAAATATTGTGATCTAAATATGTATACCGATAACCTCATTTTAGTAATCTATTGATAAAGGAATATCTATTTATCGGTTAATTAACAGTTATTATTAGCGGAATTCTCTCGTTCATTATGTACAAACATGGAATTATCGCCGTTAAGGTATATATTTGAGGCAAAAGAACTATATATATATATGTGTGTGTTGTGTGTATGTGTTACATTACTTTTTTTATGATAGAAAATTCTTTTTTTGTAAGCTAATTGTGACTTCTTCCTTTATTTTCTTATGAATTTAGATTTAAAAAAAAAACTTGTTCTATCCATATTCACATATTAGACTAGTGCATAGAAGTATTATTTTGAAAAATTATATTTTTCGCTATATCTATTTACTATCTCAACATTTATTATTTATTTAAATCTGAACTCAACTTTGACTTCTGATCTATGCTGAATAATCTAAATGTTAAAGTGATACACAATATTAAAAATATTTTAACTGATATAACATACACAATGTACAAATATAATATATAATAAATGATATTGATACATATTAATATATAATATGATATTGTATACAAATGTATTATTTTTTTTTTATTTTATTTGTATTTTGTTCTAATTAACCATTGAGATTAAAGACAGAAATTCAAGATATATTAGATGGTATATTGTATTACATTATTACAATATAGTATAAAGTATAATATATACTATATAATAATTAGGGGAAATTATCGTTATAAAAAATGGAGAACATTGAATTACACTTACATTTTATTGCATTCGCACAAATATTCATCACTATCTTCGCAACCGCATAAACAACATTCGCAATATTCACTATCTTCGCTGTCTTCTGCTTTTGGTAAATCAGTTACTTGCTTTATAGTTGGTTGATATTCTTCCGAAGAATCTAATGGTTCATCACTGCAATTACATGGTGTATCTGACAATCCATTTGCGCATTTGCCCTTGCAATTGCATCTGCAATTTCCGATTGGACGTATATTGCAAGATAATAAAGGACAAATTTCACAGGGACCTTTAAGATCATAAGATAATATATGTGGTTTGCACCCCGTACGAATACCTGTAATTATTTTTCATATTAAATTTTCATCATTAAAAAATTAATTAGCATAATTTAGTTTATATACCATGTTCTTCCATTTTATAACGTGGTTGTTCGCAGAAAGACTTTCTTAAAGATGTAATGCAGGGAATGTTGCAAGGAGGAATAAGTTTAGGCATACAAACTTTTTTTAAAATATATTCAAAATCCTGAGAGGTAAAACAAGGACGATGACATTGTGCCGATTTTGATTTAAATGTTGATGGTTTATCATCTTTTGATTTCTCAGAAGTAGAGTTTTCCATTTTCTATTGAAAAAAAATATGGATCATAAAATAACATCAATAAATAATTTTATAATGTTTATATTATAATGAGTAAATTCTTATATATCATTTTCAACATTTAATGTCGTAGGATTTGCACTTTTCATCTGTGATATCTGTTCCGATTTCTGATTGCCTGCCCACCAATTTGACATCCAGGAAGATCTTTCTTTAACTTTTTTTTCGGATAATTTTGGATTAGTTTCTTGATTTTTAATATTTTGTTCCGATGTAGAAATCAATATGTCATTATGTCTCTGTATAAACATGAATAAATAAATTTATTACAATGAAATTTCTTTGAATTGAATGTATATTAACATATATAACATATCATTACATATTAAGATGTATAATATATATAATATATATAATCGAAAAATTTTCAAAAAAAAATAATAAATCTATATATATATATTTTATTTATTATAGTATTATTTATCAATTTTAATCGAGAAATATTCAATTTTAGTGTATTTAAAAATTTTTTGAATTTATTATTCGAAAACAAAGCTTTAAATGAAAAAAATTTTATTCTATATTTTCGATAATTATTTTCAATTCGTATAGAATTTTTTTTCCGATTATACTATAGAATAATTTTTACTAACAATTTGTTTCTGTTCCTGCTTTTTGTTTGATTCGTAATCATTTTGATTAGAACATGCATATTTTTTAAGCATGTAACATGTTTTCTTATCGTTGCCGTTTAAATCTTGAATACAACTTATAATTTTTCTTCGATCACAAATATTTTGATACTCCTTAGATGTTAACAATCGATCCATATGTTCTTTAAATATCGTTTCCTTCTGTTCTAATTCTTTAATGCAATTCTTCAAATTTAATTCCTCTTTGGCTAATTGACGAATCTTTGATAAACAGAGTAAGTCTTCGGAATGTATCGAATGAAGACTTGGAGTAGTGTAAGATCGTATTTCCTTCTCTAATTTATTTACCGTATCATTCAATTCTTTGTTCATAAGTTCCAAAGATTCTAATTCCATTTCCGTTTCTTCCAACTTAACATCAGCTTGAATGATTTTCTCCTGAAATTAAAATATTAATAATTTTTATATAAATTATATAAATTTTATATAAATTAATAATATTTATAAAAAGTATAATAAAAAAATAGATATTTAATAATATATCAAATTTTATAACGAGCACAAAGATTCAAACACACACACTAAGATTTACCCGCTGAATTAATCGCTGAATTTCAATCGTTCCGTACATGCAACTCGTCGGTCTCCTTGTTCAGATTCTTCACCGTATTTTTTAGATTTTCGAGAAGTTTTTCGGTTTGATCCGGATAAGGAGCGAATTTCTTCATGATCTCGCGGATTTTACAATACGGCGCATTTTCACATTTCTTTGACATCCACATATTATATGCCATTAATGCCGGAATTGATCGTTCCATTGTCGTAATTTTATCCTTTAAATATTTATGCCGACCAAGAAGATCGCAACGACGTTCCTCCATTTTCGTCGTAATATCTTCGAAATACGGCGAATGATGCTCGCTCGTTTTCGTATCTGATTTTGGACCTTCGATAAAGAAAAAAAATTAAATAATTATATTTTATTAAAAATATATTCATTTATAATAAAAAAATAAATAAATATCTTGTGTCACCTACATTTACATCGAGACATTTTTGCTTGTTAAAGAATAGTTCTTTTCCAAAATAAAGAATTTATCACTTTGAATTATGTATAAATAGGTATATACTTTAAATCTAAACAGGTTATTATGATTTCCTGCACAGAATTTTAAATGTTCAATATATCATTCTAATCTTTAAAATCATAAATTATAACAAAATTATATATGTGTTTGAATTAAATTATCTTTGAAATTTTGATATTAAATGTGAATGTTAATTTTTTTTTTTTAATATATTTTCTGTTGACGGTTTCAAGTAGAATAATATATATATATATATATATATATATATATATATATATATATATTAAGTTAGTGTTCTCAACAAAGATGCATTAATTGAAATTAGCAATGGTACTATTTTTAAAAAAACTATCGAATAAGATCGTATGTTTTTTCAGATATTTTCGATCATTTTTGATAGTTTTACGCGCAACGAAAATCAGCATGCATTAGTATAACGTTTCTGCGAATTGTTCAAGATGCATTAGATTTCTTCAATTCAGTGAAGAAAATATAAAACATATCGAATTCTTTGAAATCTGGAGCAAATCGAAGTGGATAATGTTACCTCTCGATATAGTCACGAGTTAGTAAAATTATGAAATTAAATTCAAAATAATATATATATTATATATTATATATAGTAAACTTGACAACGTTATTATTCAAATGTATTTTTACATAACAGAAGAACGGAGGACTTGACTAGTCGTGACACGGATGACGATAAATATTCTTTGTTAACCGGAACTAGTACATCTCTTCAAGATAGCACCGGAAGTACAGTCACAGGCTCAATTAGAGCCAACTACGAACGTAATTTTGAAGATCGTGTATTATATGGACAGAGCGGTGGTCGCAGATTTAGTTATAAAAAAAGAAAGACTTGCAGCGGAAATGGAATATTTAGTGCTCCTCCCGGTGTCAGTCCCCATCATGTTAAATCATCCATTATCCGTCGCAATACAAGTAGAGCTTTTAAATATTATAAATATTTTATCATATATATCTTATATTATTTTTTTAAATAGTTATATGTTAAATTAAGAATCATTTTTATTCTTTTCTATAATAGATGGATCTCGATTAATTTTTGTATGGCCACAAAAACCACCTAGAAGTAGATTGTTAAGAATTTTAGCTCCGCTCATGCATGGCATTCTCATTGGTTTTTATATATATATATATATATATATATATATATATATATATATATTAAGTTAGTGTTCTCAACAAAGATGCATTAATTGAAATTAGCAATGGTACTATTTTTAAAAAAACTATCGAATAAGATCGTATGTTTTTTCAGATATTTTCGATCATTTTTGATAGTTTTACGCGCAACGAAAATCAGCATGCATTAGTATAACGTTTCTGCGAATTGTTCAAGATGCATTAGATTTCTTCAATTCAGTGAAGAAAATATAAAACATATCGAATTCTTTGAAATCTGGAGCAAATCGAAGTGGATAATGTTACCTCTCGATATAGTCACGAGTTAGTAAAATTATGAAATTAAATTCAAAATAATATATATATTATATATTATATATAGTAAACTTGACAACGTTATTATTCAAATGTATTTTTACATAACAGAAGAACGGAGGACTTGACTAGTCGTGACACGGATGACGATAAATATTCTTTGTTAACCGGAACTAGTACATCTCTTCAAGATAGCACCGGAAGTACAGTCACAGGCTCAATTAGAGCCAACTACGAACGTAATTTTGAAGATCGTGTATTATATGGACAGAGCGGTGGTCGCAGATTTAGTTATAAAAAAAGAAGACTTGCAGCGGAAATGGAATATTTAGTGCTCCTCCCGGTGTCAGTCCCCATCATGTTAAATCATCCATTATCCGTCGCAATACAAGTAGAGCTTTTAAATATTATAAATATTTTATCATATATATCTTATATTATTTTTTTAAATAGTTATATGTTAAATTAAGAATCATTTTTATTCTTTTCTATAATAGATGGATCTCGATTAATTTTTGTATGGCCACAAAAACCACCTAGAAGTAGATTGTTAAGAATTTTAGCTCCGCTCATGCATGGCATTCTCATTGGTTTTTTATTTATGGATGCTATTCATCTTTGGCCAGGAGAATTTTTACCTACATCGTTGCCTTCTATAATACCTGTTCCTTTACCACCTGTAAAATGTAATGTAATTGAACCACGATGGTTTGACAATAGTTAGATAATGCAATATTTTCATTTTTTTTGATTTTGAAGTCGCGTAACTTAAATTCTCTTTTCATTATTTAAAATATAAAAAATAAATTGTAAGAAAAATTAAAATGTAAAAGAAATATATTAAAACATAAAATTATAAAAAAAATTGTTTTTAATAATATATAAATAATTATAATAAAAATGTTGATTTTATATATATATGTTATAAATGTTAACAATTTTTCCGAACAAAAATATGTTTATACGCATCATTATAATATAGTTAATACTTGGGAAAGCAGTGAATGCGAAAGATATATTTTCAGCAGTGAACAAAAAATGTCAAATAAACATCTATTTCAAAAATGTGGATTTTTGCGTGCACCCTTTGCCATTGGTGTCGGTCGTTATGTGTGTCAATTACAAAGAGTAACTCTAAAATTTTGTAAAAGTCACGGAGCTAGCCTTGGAGCTAGGTAAAATTTCTTTACTTAACCTTATTTTCACCATTAAATTTTTATATTATATATATATAGCGATATAACAATAAAAAAAGTTATGAATTTACTAAAAAAAAAATTAATTTTTTTTAATATTAATATATTTGACTTATTTTTTATTTGTTTAATTATTTGTTTCTCTTAATGTACATAACGTTTTACAAATTATAACCTTTCATAAATTAAAATACCTTATATAATATATGTATATACAAGAAAAAAGTTTATTTTTTTGTTATATAGGAATTTTATAGAACATGACTTAATTAATTATGCAAAAGAAAATCCTGGAGTTGTAGTATATGTTAAACCAAGAAGGCACAGACATCCAATTTTAAAAGCGGAATATTGTAAGTCTTATTGTTTTAAAGAAGTAAGATTTAAATATATTAAAAATTTAAAAATAATATTTAATATAGATTTATGTTATTTATAGTAAATGGAGAGACACATTGGATGTCTATTGCTAATTATAGTAGAGAGGATATTGTACAATGGATGGAATTATTAAAAACTCAATATCATAATGGTCCAGATTACAGATTACTTAAATTATGGCATACAGATTTTCCTTCTATTCAAGGACCTTGGACACCTTTTACTTTTAAAGAACCATCTTTAAATCAAATTCAATTCCCAAATGTAAATATTGAATTTTTTTGTTATATAATGTCTCTTCTATTACATTTTTATAACTATATATATTATATATCTTATTTATTTTTAGAAAAAAGTTGGGGAATGTATTAAATTGGAACCAACAGCTACAGAGGAATTGATTAGGTTGTTCAAAGAACAACAAGAAGCTGAAAAGCTCAATGAAGAAAATAAGATTCAAGAAAATGTTAGTTAAATGATAATTTTTAGATATTAAATAATTAACTGAAAATTAATATATACTAAATCAATGTTATTATAGCTTAAAATAAGATTTGATTTTTTTATTTTTATGGAACAACACAAAAAATTATATTTATCTAATATTTCAATAGAAAGAAAACTTTTATACATATATATCCAATCATTAAAATTATATAATTATTTTTAAATTGTGATTATTGTAAAATAAATATATAACTTATAAATTTACTTGATTATTTATTAGTGCATATAAATATTTTTCAGGCTTTATTATATAATAAAATTTTGCATAAATGTATTTAAATTATCAAATATAATATATGCTCCAGACAATTACATAACAATCATATAAATATTTATTTGTGTTTTATTTTTTTAATGTAAGCATTTAGTGACTAGTATATTATATATATCATATATACAATATTTTGATGTGTAAATATATATGTAATATATAATATTATTATTACATATTAACAATATTCATACTACTATTAGAATTATATGACAGGTACATAAATTTTTTTTTTGTTTTTATGTGCTGTTATATTTTCTTAATTACATAAAAATATGTTTTAGCATTTTTCGTGTAAAAAAAATTGAATAATTATATCGTATATAGCACCAATATTTTGAAACGAAATTATGAAATATGAAATAATTCTATTTTGGCCAACTATTTTACACTTTAATAAATTATGTTATTATTATTATAATATTTAATTCCAGATAACAACTTATAAATATAATTCATTTTTCTGTGCGATTTTGTTAATGCGTGCGAACTTCATAGATAAAAAATAAAAATATACATATTCTACATATATATTTAATTATCAATTATTTTTAGTATTTGATATAAAAAATATTGATACAAAATGATATTAAGTATATCTAACTTTAATTAAAATCTTTAATCCAAATATTAAGTAAAACAAGTGAATAAAAAATCCATAATATTTCATAAACATAGAAGATTATAACTATTTTGTAAAAATATAATTAGAATATTCTTTTTCAAATTGCATAATAATTTATGCAAATGCATTTTTTTAAAATTATGATAATATTAATTATAAAAATAGAAAATATTTAAACGCACTTAAATTACATTTTATAAATGATATTTTAAATAATCTTTAAGGGATGGGTACAGTAGCATAATCCTGGTATGCTAACTTTTTTCTTTGAGAAATATGAATAAATAGTTTATTTCTTACACTACAATAAAAACTTTATCATTTTTATAGGAAAAAAAATGCAACTTTTCCTGTGTAATATCAAATAGACTTAAACATTCATAATTATTTATCAAAATAATGGGATAATGAGATGATTCTAAATATATAACAATATAAATAGGATGAATTTGATGCTACATACAATCATACGCACAAAAAATCACACACCATCAACATACCATTCCTTATTAAACACTTCATTGTATATAATTGTATATAAATAATAAATTTATAATGCCTCATTATAGAATCTTGGTATTAAAAACTGACAAATGTTACCTGTAGTATTTCAACTATTTAAATTCAATTATAAATACTAAGATGAATTTTGTACTCTAATAATTTTTTTGTAATAAAATATTATGGTAGAAACCAATTAACATGACGCAACATACCATATTCGTAAAATAAAACAAATTAAATCATGCATATCTTTCTCCTTTCGTACAGATAAATGTCCGCAAAGAAGATAAAACAGCATATCAGGAAAAATATTCTCGCTTAAGCAAAATATCACACACTATATCAATTGTAAAAGTGTGACTAGACATGATTTAGTTTATTCGGCTTTAAGTCGTTTACTAAATTCTTCTTGTTGTTTTTCTCGCCATTCTTTTTTCGGTTTTGTTCGTTTAAGTTGACCATCCCTAAAAATAATATCATGATATTAATTTTATTATAGAATTATTATATATTTATTATAGAATATATTAATTTATTATATATATATTTTATTATAGAATTATGGAATTTGTTCTTATTTAAAATAACTACATAATTACCATTGTAAGTCTACTAAACCACCTTGTCTTGCTATCACAGACTTTACTCTATTCGCAAAGTCAATAGCGCTTTCTCCCTCATTTCTATACATTGGAGGAAGGTACCAAACATCACAAACTATAGCCCAACTCGACATAGTCATGTATAAATATTGAATCATAGAATATCGACTACTATTCCAGAATGCATCTCCAAATCTTGGATCATACTGTAAGAAAAATAATGAAATTAACTTAAATTATTTGAATTATTATATAAAGGCATATTTTTTATATGTACATAATTACCTTTATCGCAACAGGATAAATTACACCACCAACTTCAAAACTTCCTTTTTTAAATTGCATAACTGATGTATTATTTATACAAGTGCCTTCAGGAAAAATAAGTATAGGTGGATTTGTAGGATCAGAAATATGTTTTTTTAATCTAAAATACATTTATAAAAATCTATATATATAAAATATATTACAAATAAAATCTATACATTAAAAACAAAATAGAATTTACCGTTTTGTAACAGCTTCTCTATCTTTAACTTCACATCGTTCAAACCAAATATGCGGTGACGCACGTGCTAAAGCTCTTTGTAGAATTCCTAAAAATCCACCATGCCTTTGACCTATCTAAAATAATATTTATTATTGAATAATATAAATCATTGTTCATATATCAGAATATTTTTATATAATGAAAATTTAAATAATGATAACAAAATAAATCAAAATTAAAACATGCAATTAAGAAGAAGTAAAATAATTGAAAATAATTATTAGTTTATTAATCAATACGATGAATGATAGAAACATACCAAAGAATAGCAATTATCGCACATCAGTACTAGGACATCTATGGGAGAAGTGTGATTTGCCACACAGATACCCCTAACAGGACGATTTTCTGGGTTATGATAAGTTATTACTGAAGATAGCGCGCTGGACAATACACCAAAGCACATTATGGAAACTTTATAATTTAACCATCGCTTGAAACTGCCCTCTGGGACATACCCCACAACAGCTGTACATGCTGTCAGCCACATTACCTGTAAACCATAAGCTTTGCATATAAGAAAGTATATTTTATTCTTTTTGTATTGACGGTGAGTAGTTTACCTACAAAGCAAAGTTACAGGAATCTGTTACCTGCAACATTCATGCATTTCAATTTTCAATAGGCAATTACTAATTATATTATAGCAGGATTTCCCAGATTATTTCAACAATATTATTATAATATGCTGAAATTTAATTACTAACAAATAACAAATAAATATGGTAACAAATTCTCAACAATAATACCCAATAAACAACAAATTTGGATATTTTTATGATGATATATTACCAAAGAGAATGTTGTTTGTGTGGATAAGATGGACACGTCGATTGTGGAAGTGTGATTTGCTACACACATTCCTCCAGATTTTGGTTTATATTCTGGATTATGAATTGTAATTGTAGCTGATATAGACTGTGATAATATTGTGAATGCTATGAGACTAGCTTTGTTGTATATCCATTTCTTTATAAAACCATTTGGTAAGAAGCCAATAAGAAATGTTGTAATTACAATATACAGTACCTAAGAAGCTTTGATATTAGTTAAATTGGAAATGCTAAATTTATATTTGACATGGACATTTACTGAAGCAAATACTTTCAAAATAGATGCATTAATAGAGCAGAATTGTGGAATGAAAATAAGTTAAAAATTGAACATTAATTCTTACATAAATATTTTTTTTCCTAAACTTAATAATTAATCATACATCCTACCAAGTTGTTTTAATTAAAAATATTGTTAAGTATAGAAAAATCAATGTACTTACCCCAACAAAACAAATGAATATTCTTAAGGGAAGAAGAAAGCAGTACCGCATAACAAATCCACACATCCATATTACTGTTAGCTTCCAGGAAATGAACTCATAATGTCTATTTGTTCTAGTTAATAGATTCCAATTCTGACAAAAAATATCAATTTATCATATATTACAATATCAATTCATATTTAAAATCTAGAGAAAAATTACCTTCAATTCTTCTGCCTCGAAACGAGATGTCACTTCATCTTCAATAATAGCCTCTACACCAGCTTTAATATAATCCAAACAAATTGCAGGTTTGAACTCTCTTTTTAATGTTTCAAATGAATCTCTACGCATAAGACTCTACAAAAAATATTTTCAATTTACTTTATAAATAATTCTTTCTTATAAATAAAAGCAATAAAATAAAACTAAAATTATTTACAGTAGTTGTAGATGTTTGAGAATTTTCTGTTTTTGTTTCTTCCAGATGATTTTTATGATTCTGCATTTCCGGTTCAGGTACCAAGATTAAATCTGTCGATCTGGCTATTACATTGCTACTTAACATTCCATTTTGCATATCGTTTTCTGTTTTCCAATTCTGTACATTCTGTTTTTCGACATGCCGCGATTCGTTTTCTTCATCGGCATCTTGGTCATTTTCCGTCCAAGTACCGTTTTTCTTTTTTACGTTTTCTATATTTTGTCTGCCATACTGAAATAAAAATGTGTGTGTGTGTGTGTATATATATATATATATATATATATATATGTTATAATTATCTCGATCAAGTTTGAATATTTCTAAAAAATATGCGGTATGCGTTTATTGCTGAAAAGAGATTTGTCAAACACAACAAGAACAATAGACTTATTCACTAGATAAATATAATTCATAAGAAATGAATATCATCGTAAAATAGAAATAACTATGGAACGAAGTATGAAAAGGATATTCTTAACAATAAAAATTATTTTATTGTTTATTGTAGATAAGAATAAACCTGGACAATATTTTTTTTAGATTTCAGATGAATTTAAATTTATCAGATCACAAAATTTATGCCTGCTTTTGCAATATATTTTCATAAATATTATTTAAAAAGAATCTATATTTTAAAATTTACAATTGCATTTATTATGTATTATATTATGTATATTATGTATATTATGTATCTAAACATTCATATTTAGAATAATTATTTTCATTTATTTAATATTTTTAATCTATATTTGATTCATTTAAAATATAAAATATTACATTTTCATATA